GTGACAAAATACTGTATGTTTTATATTTTGTGTGAATGCTAACTTTTAAACCTTTGATATGCACAATTCAACTCATGTAACCATAAAAGTTAAGTAAGGAACTGGGGGAAAGGAGATCTCAAAGAAAGGCAAAGATTATATACATTTATGGTGAGGTGGAGGAAGACTAGAGTGAGAAGGGTAGATGTGTAGAGGGATGGAGAAGAAGAATAGATAGTGAATACAGGGAGGAACAACTAACACTAAAGGCCATCTGAGGAGCCATACGGAACCTACTACTCAAGAAACTTCCTAAATTATATGCTCATATAAAAGAAATCTAAATGGAATCACCATATAACAGAGGAGACAATTCCCCAACTAGATGACTTTTTATCTCAAATAAACCTCCAGTCCCAGAAATGGGTTAAATCTAGTTGAATTATTGACCAAAGGTGACACAGGGAGACTCAACAACTCAGGCTATTACCAATGCATTTGCTTAGTCTACAAACTGATGGTATGGGCATAGTGATGAGGAAGATACCTACATAACTCAAAGAATATCAAAAAGTAATGCCTGTCTAGAGCCTTCACTGCTGCGGACAGGTAGTCGTGGTACTGGAAGATATTCTGCCTACTCTGCACACTACTAGAGGAGAAAGATAGACATTATGACAGCTACAAGCCATGTTATTTAGAAAAGTGGACTGCCTTCAAGATATGTTGATGCAATAGTGATACAAATAATGTAGGAGTTAAAAGCTACTACCTACTTGTTTATAAGGCCCACTCCACAAGACAAAGCTCATGCCAGACAGAGCTTAGATGGCTTAGAACATTAGACTTAGTATGGTATGGGCCTGGAGGAAGCCAAATGTTAAAGAAACATAGCAATAACATGACTTATAATGCCATTTTGCTATACTCATGAATGGTGCTACTATTAGACATCATCAGAGAAGATACTTTCTGCTGTAGATAGAAACTAACACAGAGACCCTGAACTGGGTAATATGCAGAGTGAGAAATACTCAAACCCCTCCTCCAAGAGTAAAATGAGCTAGGGGCAAAAGATGCAGAAAGATTATGAGAGCCAAGCAGAATTGATGACTCCAAAGAAAACATGTCCTCTAGAGACAAAAAGAGTTGCAGGGGTGAAAAGCATGGTCAGAATATGGAGCATACCTTTATAAAAAAGCAGGCCACCCAGAGATATCAACCAAACACTGCACAACAAGTTACAATAAGACTAGTCACAAACACTCATATTGAGGCTGGACAAGGCAATGCAGTAGGAGAAAAGTGATCCCATGTGCAGGCAAAAGAGACAGATATACTCTCTTACTCTTAGGAGTCCTATAGGAACACCAAGCTACACAACTATAAGATGTATGTAGAGGACCTAACTCATATTCATACTGCCTCCCTGATTGTCCCTTCAGTCTCTATAAGCCTCTATGATTCCTTATTATTTGATTCCATGAGCCATGTTCTCCTGATGTCCTCAACCCCTCTGGCTCTTATATTCTTTCTTTTCCCTCTATTGCATGTCCCCGAGCTCCACCAAATGTTTGGCTGTAGGTTTCTGCATCTGTTCCCATCAGCTGATAGAGTAAGCCTCTCTGGTGATGACTGAGCTAGTCATTGATGTATGAGTATAGTAGAATATCATTAGGAATCATTTAACTGAATTTCTCCTCAGTCGGACAGATTTGCTTCCATCCAGGAACTGTGTGCTGTCAAGTCTCTGGTCCTTAGTCATCAAGAAAGGGTCAGGCACTAGCTTTCTCTCCTGGCATGGGCTTCAAGTTGAAGTCATTTGATGGTCATTCTCATGAGTTCTGAGCTACCATTACCCTAGCCAATCTTACAAGCAGGGAAAATTGTAGGTTGAAAGTTGTTTGGCTTGGTTAATGTCACAATCCAATAACTGGAAGTCTTACCTGATTACAGAAGATGGCCAGTTCAGACTCGGTATCCCCCATTTCAAGGATCATTCTCTAGAGTTACTCTTGTATATTATAAAGAGTTTCTAATGCACTAAATATCAGATCCCCCAAATAATCACCAATTCCAGTAGTCTCTACCAGTCTTCTCTCCATTCAACCCCTGATCCCTTCTTTTCCCATCCCTACTTATGCCTACTCCACCTCCAAATTCTATTCTATTTGCCATTTCTAGGATGAACCATTTGTCCTTATTGAGACTTCTTTATAACTTAGCCTTTCTGAGTCCGTGTATTGTAGTATGATTATTCATTACTTAAGAGCTAATATCCACTTACAAGTGAATATATACTACCTTTGTCTTTCTGAGTCTGGGTTACCTTATTCAGGAAATTATTTTCTATTTACATTCATTTGCCTGCAAATTTAATGCTGTCTTTTTTTTAATCACTTGAGTAATGCTCAATGGTGTAAATGTAGGGTTTTTTTTTTAATATATTGTTCAGTTGAGGTACACTTAGGTTGATTCTACTTCCTGAAATTTACGAATAAAGCTGTTATGACCATAGTTGAGCATATGTCCTTATGGAAGATTGGAGCATCTCTTGGGTATACACCCAGAAGATTTTTACTGGGTCTTGAGGTAGATCAACTCAAATTTTCTGAAGAAACACGGTATTGGGTTCCAGAGTGACTACAGGAATTCATTCCCATCAGCAATGGAGGAGTGTTCCTGTTACTCTACATCTTCACTAGAATGGGCTGTTATTGTGTTTTTAATTTTAGCCAATTTGACAGATATAAGATAGAGATTCAAAGTAGTTTTGATTTGCATTTCCCTGGTGACTGACACTGAATAAGTGTTTCTCAGCCATTTGAGGTTTCTCTAATGAGAATTTTTTGTTTAGATCTGTATCCCATTTTTAAATTGGAATATTTTGTTTGTTGCTGTCTAGGTGTCTAGTTTCTTAAGAGCTTTTTTTTTTTGAAAAGAAGAAACACAGTGGTTTATTTGCAAATCTCATGGTTGCCACAGTGGGAAATCCCAAACAATCCAATCACCAAGCCAAAATTATCCCCCCAAAACTAAGTTCAGTTCAGGAAATTTTCAAGGTAAAAAAATCAACACACCAAAATTAACTACAATTCTGCATATTAGTAAATACAGAGAATCAATTTGGTAATGAAATGCCCTAATGTATTCTTTGAAGCATGAGACCTGTAAGTGTTAATATTAAAAAGGCATGTGGGTTAAAATTTTTAAAATACTCATGGATAGATTAAAAATTCTAAGAAAATACAGATATTCTTTGTTTTCTGATTAGAAAAATCAGCAAAGGAAACCATCAATTATATTAAAATTGTTATAAGGACTTAATGACTTTTTGTGTTAAAAACTCAACCAGATCATTGATAGATAGAGACAATATTATTCTGAAATTTATATGCAAATATAGATACCAAAAGAGCTGAAACATGTTTGAAGTATAAGAATAAATTGAAAGACTTACCTCACCTAATATTAAGATCTGGGTATCTATAATAATCAATCTGGTATTATATTGACAGAAAGATAAATGCACAGGTCAGTGGAACAGAATGTGGATGAAAATCAAACAAATATTCACACACACACATACACACACACACACACGTTTTTTAAAAGGGGAAATTTAAAAAAGAAATTCAGTGTAAGAAAGATAAACTTTCCACATAAAACTTTTGTACTACAAATGCAAATGACCATGTCACAAAAACGCAAATACAATCTAGGAGAAAATATAGAATACAAAGTTTGGAGAAGGGGGTTACAATTTGGCCCAACTAGGAGTTACAGAGGTTGAATATCTCTCCTACTGTGCATGTAGCCTACTTAAAATGCATAGCAAGACAAAGACAAAGATTTATGTAAATATAATGATGTAAAGTTAGCTGTGAGACAAAGTAAAGAATTCTCCTCTAGGAGGTGACCAGGGTCCCAGGTTATTCCATTGTTTTGTTATGTGCTACAGAGACAGTTTTTACTGAAGTTTGAGAAAAATGGAGAGTTCGGATCTCCAAATTTAAAAGGAGCAAACAGTCTCTCAAGCTTTATGGGTTGGGATAAATAAGGTCACCCCTAGTTCTTCACCTAGCTTGAAATAGTTCCTTGCCTCTGGTTGTATTTCTTTGATAGGTGTAGAATCTTCTGTATTTTTCCCCTTCTGGAGTTCAACTTCAAGCTATGGCTCCTGCATGTATGTTAAGCACATAAGATATTAAGGGACAGGTGCTGAATGAAACTGAACAGGGAAGGTGGAAGAACAAATGTTTCTCTTCAGAAACTTTCCTCCTCTGTTAGAGTTTTAGCAGGTTAATAGGGAATATACAATGACATCAGGAGTTTACGTAAGACCTTGGTCAATATAAGATATCCCTTTATCCAACAAGGCTTTATATTAGAAACAGTTTCAGTGGAACATATTTTTTTTCCACTAGGGCTCCAGTGAAATATCATGATTAGTTGCAAGTATGTAGAGAACTGAATCTCTAATGTGGTAGAGGAATATGAGAGTAATGGAAATAAAGTAAAATCAGGCCACATTACAGATCATATCTAGCACAATATCAAAGACAGATTTCTTTCCTTAATTTTGAATTCAGAGTATTCAAAGAAGAAACACCATTACCCAGTGTTTTCTTTATCTGGTGATGCACATTATTCAGTTTGCTGTTGGAAGGACTTCCCATTTTTCATATACTTCCTATTTCCAAATATTTATGTTAGAAATGCTATACAGTCAACGTAAATGAATAATTTTGCAAGTTACTTTGTTTATCATGTGATATAAATTTTACAAGATGATGTTACTGTAAGAAAAAATTAACTTAGTACAAAAGAGAACTTTCTTGCAATCTTTCCAATTAACTATTCTATAATTTTAATAACCAATATCATAATCAACAGAAATCTCTATTTTGTTTATTTCTAAAATGCATTCACTTTTGATTTTCTTTTATTCCCATAAAATGTTATATTTCCATGCATGAGGAAATAATGCTTACCATAAAAAGAAAAATAAAAGCTAAATTTTACTTTGTTAAGCACTTTCGACTAATCACTTTGTCCATGGCATCTTTGACATCCTTGTTCCTCAGACTGTAGATCATGGGATTCAGCATGGGGATCACTGTGGTATAGAACACAGCCACCATCTTTCCTTGCTCCACTGACTCCTCAGTGGGTCGTCTGAGATACATGAATATGAGAGTGCCATAAAATATTACAACAGCTGTGAGATGAGACCCACAGGTGGAAAATGCCTTGCGCCTGCCTTCCGCTGAGCGCATTCTGAGAATGGCAATGAGAATGAACAGGTAGGAGATGATGACTACAGAAAGAGAATAGGTGAAGTTAATGCCTGCAAGTATAATCATTGTATATTCTTTCACAAAAGTCCCTGCACAGGCCATCTTGATGAGGGGTGGGTCTGCACAGTAGAAGTGGTTGATCTCAGTTTTCCCACAGAAGTACAAGCCATATGTCCATAAGGTTGCAGCCAGACTAGTCAGAAACCCATATATGTAGGGGAAAGAAATAAGTCGAATGCAAACCACCCTGGACATTTTGCTGCCATAGAGCAGAGGCTTTCCAATGGCCATGTACCTGTCAAAGGCCATGACAGAAAGAATGAAGATTTCTACATGAACAAGAGCAATGAAGAAGAAGCATTGTACCAAGCAGCCAGCATAAGAAATTGTTTTTGTCTTTGACAGCAAGTTTTCCAGCATTTTAGGAGTGACGTTGGAAGAAAACCACACATCAATAAATGACAAATGGCTCAGGAAAAAGTACATTGGGCTGCTCAGCTGTGGACTGATCTTAATTAATATCATCATGCCAATATTCCCCACCATGGTAAATATATAGACCATGAGAAAAATGACAAAGAAGAGAACTTGCAATTCCTTTCTGCTGGTTAAGCCCAAAAGAACAAATTCAGTCACATCTGTGAAATTGAGCATCTTTTCACTTCTGCTAATATGAATTATAAAAGTCTGCAAAACTAAAATGAAATAAATAAATTAGACCTATCAATGTACAGAACTCTTCCTAAACAGAATATTTTCTATATTAAAGTCTAATTTTTAAGATGACTGACAGTGTTTTACATATCAAGATATTTTGCAAATTTATCCTAAAATGTAGTAACACTACCACTAATACATAATAATCATAGTGAGAATAAACAGTTTCCATAAAACAATTCAAATGTCACATTTTATTTCTTCTCTAAGGGAACATAAATCACACTCTTGTAGCCCATGCATGCTTTATACTTATAGTTTGTATCTAATGGTGAACTTGAATTTTGGATCATCTTTCCTCCACTGCCCATGTGCTTTAGTCACAGGCATGTTTATCCAGTACTGAGCTACAATTTATATTTCTAAAGAAATGGTGGAAACATAGCTATTGTTCCTTATATTTTGGAAGACAAAATTCTGTAGTTCTTTTGTTCAGTAGTAGGAGGAGACTTTAAATTGTCTTAGACTTCCTATAGAGGTTCTATCAACCTAACAGAGTTACAGGACAGAGAGCTGGACAGAAAAGAATGCCATTGCATTTATTCTTCCTGTTTAACTGACAAACTTGTATAATGCATAGATACATACATGCACATATACAACCTTACAAAGCCAGTATATCAGTGAAGGTAGTCCACTAAAACAATAGATGTTCTCATTCTACAAAACGCAGTATCAGTTTTATCTATTAAGAACTTGAAGCATCTTTTAAATAGGGTGCTAAGTGGAATAATGAACTCATACTACTTTCTGATGAATAAATACCATGTGCAAAACAAGTGTTACTTCCACAAATCTATTATAACTGGTAGCATTATACTTTCTCGAATATCATTTTGTTGGATTCTCACTAGTCCTCACTAGTCACTAGTTAACCTGAAAAGAAAAAGTTCAAAGCAAGAAAGAGAGAAAATTTCATATTTAAAGCAAAATATACAGACCCTCATCTACAATAATACCAATTGCTTTTCACTAACTCAATTTAGGAAGAAATTATACTCAATGATACTGGAAAAGGCTACTAACTAAAATTACTCAAAATAACTCAATATGACTCTAGGTTGTTGGACTAATTACCAATTAAGATCTAAACTAGTGATAAGTGGTCAAATGGTTTAATTAAAAATTAAGTAAAAAGTAACAATATGCATTAAGCCATCTAAAATCTAAATAAGCTACTTTACATGATATGACGCAGAGTATTTGTCTACAAAGCAGAGTTCTGTGTTGACTCCTAGCAACATATAAACTGGAAAGGTGATAAAGCTTGTAATCCCAGTACTCAAATGGTATATAACACATGGATCTCTGGGTTTCAGTGTCACCTGTAGCTGCATAGTGAGCTCTAATTCATCCTGGGCTATATGAAACCTTGTTGAAAAATACAAAAACAAATTGAAATAAATGACTAAAATAAATAATTGTCTTAGAATATAGGTTTTATTTATCATAAAATCTGTGAGAATATAATAAAAAATTCTTTAAATTTGAGGAACAATTATGAACAGTGATTGTTTATAAATCTGCAGATCATCTATCCTCTTATTTATTATAGTATAAGTGCTTCGTGTGTGAGTTTCAATACTTATTTAAATATTGGTAATAGAACTCATGCTTGAAAAGTATGATCTGATTATGGGGTGCCACGGATGACCTGACCCAACATGAACAAAAATAAAAATATATGTGGTGGTTTTACTTGACAAAAGTTTAATTCAGAAAAACCAGAGAGACTGTTCATCAGGAGATAGAAAAAAACAGCGAATAAAGAGATGTTATAATGGTTTTATGATCATAGGAGTATGACATCTGTGAATAAGTAGAAAGCACTTGAAGATTATTTAACTGAATTAATCATCATTTAAAGACAAAACCAAATTTAAATATATAAAACTATCTCAAAGCAAATTATCAGTATTGTGAGAATTTATTTTCCAAATCAGGTATGGAGCAACAATGTATATTCTACTTGAAGGGTCTATGTCTGCTGACAGATCTTCACTGAGTCCACGTTACATATCGTATTTTTTAGTTTGGGCATGGTTTATGTTAGGTCTGCTTTGATTAAATTTCTCTGTTCTTCAATATGTTACTAAATTAATAATTTACAATATTTCAATCAGTATGACTTAATAATATAAATAATAAGGTATATTTGTACAAACATTTCTTATAAGTAAAATAAACATAATTACTAAATGCAACACCACAATAAAAGGTAAGTATAAAATTCCATGAGTCCTGGGAATCTATGCATCATTGTTTCTAGCCATTTTATACATAACGTGTCTAAACTATGTCTATAATGAATAAAGATAAATGAAATTAAGATATACATTTATTTGATCTACCCATTTGTTACCAACCTGAGTGTGAACAGAAATATTTCAGTAGAATTTCATATATAAAAACTGAGCACTATGTATGCAGGTATTAAGCAACATGGCAAATAACTTAAGCCTACAAGGCTTATAGAATGCTTCCTTATACGTCTTCCTTGCATAAATGGATCAACTTAAAATATCCCCCTAGGATTGACCCAGGGGAAAGAAATCCCTTGAGGGAAAGTAATCTCATTCCTTTTTTAATAGCAGATTGACATGCATTTATTTTCCCCAAAGTTCCAATTATTTTGAATGTTTTCCTAAATTCTGTTTTGGTATTATAACCAATTATGTGGCTGAAGAATTTGCAAATAATAACAGATTATTTATCTCAGATTTCTAGTGGCTCTGAGCACCAAAACAAGAAGTTGCATCTGAACAGTCTTGCGCTCTGAAGACCCTACACATTGACCCTAATGCCACATTTGTCATGAATACAGAAGAGAGAAATAAAAGAAACAGAGCCAAACTCACCTTTATAAGATAGCTACTCTGTAGAAGGTTCATTGACAAACAAATTTGTGAGTGGATGGTTCAGTTCACAAACTTATCATTCATGACACATTCAGATCCAAGCAATCCTACCTGGTCCCACCGTTTACCACATAAGAACATGATTTACATATGAAATATCCAGATGAATCATGATGTGGAGATTTCACCCTCATAGGTGGTTCTGAAATTCAAACAAAATACACTACGAGGTTAAGTCTATATTCTTTCATGGCATTAGCAAACTATATACAACTATTCTTTTCAGGCTATGACATTCATATACTCAGTGAAATATGATTGATATATTTTTATCCTTGATTAAATCTACTGAATATGAAGGATGGGATGATAGGTCAATCTATAAGAGAGCTTCTTGCAGAAGCATAAGGATCTGAGTTCCAATCTCCATGTTAAAGGCCAGGAATTACCCACTCTACAACTATAACCCTATTTGTTTGGGGAACATGGGGGTGGATGTCAATAAAACTTCCTATCCACTAACTTATACAGCTCTTAGTTTCAGTGAGAAACCTTGTTTATATTGAATAAAATTTGGATAGGGCATGGCTCAACAGCCAAGAGGCCTTTCCTATCTTTCAGAAGATACGAGTTTGTTTCTCACCACCTGTGTTACATGGCTACAACCACTTGTAACTCAGGCTCCATTAAATTCATTGCTTTCTTCCAGACTTTATAGGTACACAGACACACACACCTACCCACCCACCATCCCAAAACATACACTTACACATACACATACACATACACATACACATACACATACACATACACATACACACACACACACACACACACACACACACACACA